TGGAAGCCTTGATTATTACATTTTAACTAACCAATTACCCTGAAAAACGTTATTGGCTATAGTTTCAGGTCTACTCTTCTATCTATCTTTGATTTGCATAGTACTACTTGCGACCTATGTGTGCTTTGATTGAAAGGACCCATGAGCAAGAAGGTGCTCAATGGCAAATGCCTAACATAAGTATGAAAAGGTGAGTTTGGCTTTTTTTTTATTAATTATTAGGGCGAGTGGGCACCACTGCATTTTGTTGTGTGCAATCCCTATGTAATCTCGCAAGACAGATGTGATAAAAAGGACCTTCATTTTATTGTGTGCAATCCCTGTGCTCAGATTTGATACCTTCAGATTTAATTATAACAGGGCTGATTCACTAGAATATTAGTGTCATGGAATCTTCCTACTAGACATTAATCGTTATTTATTGAATATTTGAATTACATTTCAGGAAGCGAATGAAACTATTGTTTTAAAAGTAGTTTACAAAACTTGCTTTAGCGAATAATGATAGCAACATCACAGTCTGATCGTTGATTTAGTGTCTATAGATGATTAGCTTTACCTTGCTTCCCAGTAATTTCAGTTTCTTATTTCTACCAGCTTTCTAACATCATATGGCTGCATGCTTAGAAGTCCAAGAATAAACATTGGTTGTTCCAAGATGAAAAGGGCCAATTTCATCATGGGCCGTTTGAGGGTTCACAATCAGCGACATGTTACCTTTTAATGCACTATAAATTGGATAAACTCATAAACATAAAAAAATAATAATAAATAGCATCGAAGTCAATTTTTATTGATTAATCCGCATTGTCTCCTAAGGTCTATCTTTAATCGCCTGAAAAGGTCCAAAATCTATACGTTATTTGACCTGCAATGTGTTCATAATGTTATACAAGGCTATTGGGTTTTGTTGGTTTCAGGTATATGCCCCAATGGGAAGACAATCGAGGTTGAGACAGCCCATGGAACTGTTACTCGCCACTATAGGCTTCATAAAATAGATGGTGAAACTAGCACGAATAACATTGCCTCGATTCCCGCCGTCGCTACTCCTCAAAATTGACACGCCAAGTCCCCACCAACACACCAATCTCCTCGGGTGATGGCAGAAGGTAGGCAACTTACAGGTTGGCTTTTGCAGCAATACACATAAGGTGGATGACCGGATCAATATCCTCCAGAGAAAACGTGGTGAGAGAAATTATTGCCTCAATGTTCATAGCTCATGACTTCATTTGATTTGTGTCACCGCTTTTCTAAAGGTATATTTTTTGGTATAATATGTGGAATCAGATAGATGAAGAATTCAGGGTGGAGGTGGAAACTATCAGTCATTTCCGTCATAAAAACTTAGTTCAGTTTTTGGGTTACTGCGTTGAGGGTACCCATGGGTATTATTAATTTATTGTTACTACATTGACTTCCTGTGCAATCGCATTTCCTATTTAGTGACCTTCATTATTAGTAGATGTTACTCTGGATATTTTCATTTTCCCAAGAATAATTTTTTAAATTAAACTTAATCTCAGGTTATTGGTGTTTGAGTACGTTAACAATGGCAATCTCGAGCAATGGTTGCATGGAGGTACGACTCATCTCGAGCATCTCACATGGGAGGGACATGTGAAGATTTGGTTGGAACAACTAAAGCGTAAGTTCACATTTATGTTTGTGTTTGTTGACGAATTCGACGTATCATATTTTGTCTTGTCCTGTACAGTCTTGCGTATCTGCATGATGCTATTTGAGCCCAAAGTCATTCATATGGACATCAAGACAAGCAATATACTGACCTATGATGATTTCAATGCAAAAATATCCGTTTGTGGACGTTTAAAGTTGTTCGGTCCTGGAAAGAGTCGTATTTCCACTAGAGTCATGGGAACCTTTGGGTGAGCATTTTGGTATGATTTAATCTGTATTGGGTCTCAGTTCTTGCATATTAAGTATATATTAATGCTTCTTCTCTACTGTTTTTTTTTTTTTTAAAAATTACGCAAATATATAGCACCGGAATATGCAAGTAGTGGCTACCTAAACGAGAAGAGTGATGTTTACAGCTTTTGTGTTTTTCTTTTAGAAGCTATAACTGGTAGAGATCCAATTGATGATAGTCGACCGGTTCATGAGGTACTATTATTCATGTTTAACTTTGCTAGAAATGCCTAATTTCGAGTTATAATGGCAAAATTATTATCTAACCAAGAAAGACGTAAGAATGACTCAGACTAAAGTAATTCTGAAGGTACCAAATCTGAGCACTTCGGTAAGGAAGAGGAAACTTAGGATCTTTATATGCAACAATAAAAGTTATAAATAGACAAAAAAGATAATATATTAACTTTACAGTGTAATCTGACGGGTGTTTCCATAAGTTTCAGAGCTCCCCATTACCCTGGAAAATTCAATACAAAGTATCTATAGGAAACATAATCATGAATAATACAAACATGTTGTTAGCATACCACTATTTTGGTCTTGAGGTCCAACATGTTCGGAGCCTGTGAAATGAGGAGAGTTGTCATTATTGCGATCATGGACTCGAAAATGGTTCTTTTGGCACTGATAAACTGAAGTATTTCACTTACTCTCAACAAGTTGCAATGTTGATGGTGTTGGTTTTTTTTTTTTAAATGCTCTCTTTGTGCTTTCTTGTTCCTGTTACACTGGTGTTTGCTGCAAAAGGTGGAAGGAAACATAGCGTTTCATTTTGAATGAGATTCTGACATTCTGTTTACAATTTATTTAGTGGTTGCAAAAAAGTGGATAATTTTGTTTTATTATAGATTCTTAAGTGAGTTTTGAGTATATTGTGGCGTGTGAGGTTAGTAAAAATGATTAAAATAACCCCATAATTTAGAAGTTTTTAACATTTTATATGTCATGATTTTATATTTACGCTTTTTTTTTACCTCTTTTCAGCTGTAGAAACCAGAGTTTGAAGTTGTTCTTCATGCAGGACAAGTGTAAAACCGTCGTTTCGTGCGGTGTGCATCTCCGCGAACGGAACCAAAGAGCACGAAAATGGTCACAGAAGAAGGTTCATGTTATTGGTTGTGGGTGAGTTTTAATTTCTACGTGGATATCAGTTTGCGAGGTGCTCAAGTTTCTTTTGTTTTGAATATACGGAAAGTGGTGTTTTGAAAATGCTGGGTTGCATATTAAAGTTTTTCTCCTAAAAACTTTTGAACATACAAGCTTTCTTTACAGTTGCACTAAGCGTGTGTGATGCAATCATATGATTTTTATGAGAAGATCAAATCAAAAAGGCATATTATTTGGCTATAGAATTTTTACAAGTCTGTCCTAATCATATGATCTTTGAGCGACAAGCTTTAGAAATGTAGTGACACAATGCTAATGTATACTAGAAACTACCCGATTTATGGAACTTTTTCACACCACGAAATTTGTTTTTTTCTATGCAGGGTACCACCTTGGTGAATGCAATCGGTAACTTACCGCACATTGGTCAGATAATCTGGAAAATATTGGCCACTCTAAAAAAATGTAGCTTCTCAGGTCATGTTCTACAATTTTTGGAGTGACAACTAATTTGATATTAATGTATAATAATCGCCTTCTATCTTCAACTTTTGGTTTCCTTACAATGAAATATACATCTTTCTTTTTATAGTGATAGTCATTTTAAATGATGTTGAAGTAAGGCCCTTAAAATTATGTCGAGATGTCTTAAATTCTAAAAATAATGGTAAACAAAAAGACTGAATTGGGTCCTACAGTGCGTAAGTTTAACTGACGCCAAATTTTAACTTGATCATCGACTGAATTTTGTCGGCTGTGCGTGCACAGCCAAAGACCCACTAGTATATAAATAAAAACTATAAATTATGTATAAAAATATAAAAAATAATACAATATATTAATAACTAAAACTTATTAAAAATCAATGTACATATAAAGAAAATGCTATAAACTATGTATAGAAATGTAAAAAATATTTACAATATATTAGTAATTGAAACTTATTTCCTATGCTGTTTTCATTTAAATTAATAATATTATTTATTTAGGGAAAAAAATATACTAACAATCTTTATATTTTAAATTTTTAGACAAGCCTTTGAAAATATTTATAATGATGTACTCTTTCGATCTCTTAATTGTAAATTATTTGAGTGATTTATAAAACTGAGAATTTATTAGTTGGATTGTTACATTTTTAATGTTGATGTTTTACTCTTTTTTTTTATAATCACATATTTTGAACTTTATTTATTTTTTTTCGTGTAAAAATGTTCATTTGATAAGCTTCCATCAACAAAAATGTTATGCAATGTCGTGCAAAAGTTCAATTTAAATCAAATTCTTTAACCAAAAAATTATAAATACATGAAATCTCTCTCTCTCTCTCTCTCTCTCTTTAAAGTTTCAAGATGATACGGATTCTAAAGTTTTTAAGAACTTGGTTTTACACGTATCAATATTTATATTCATAGTCAATACATTTTTACCATTCAAAATTGGACCCTCCTGAATAAAATTTCTGGATCCGCCACCGTATGTAGAGATATTAGTTGATATTATTTAATTATATTGATAATATTGAAAATACTAAGAATTGAATTAGATCGGAGTTCAAATCAATTTATTTTTATTTTTATTTTTAAATATACTTATAAACAAATATGCACTTATATAGTCGAGTCTAGCTAACCGGCTTATTTTGCTAAACAACTACTTGAACATTGTGGATAAATGATTTGCAATGACATGAAATAGAATAGCACGATTTTGATTCCGAAACATGAGCATACATTGAAAATAAATATAAATAAATAATAATAATAATCCGGTGGATTTAAGCTGTGCCGTTTGGCATCCTCGAGCTCATCGACAAAACTAAACAAGAACACAAGAACAAAAGGTACCATTTTATCACTCTTATTCTGTTCTTGACATTTTTTTTTTCTTTTTTTTTTTTTTTGTTTTCACAGTTTCTAATTCGACCCATCACTCAGTTTCAGATCTTTCGCAGAATGGCAGCTCTAACCAGCTCAGTCGTCATCTCGAAAGGCCCTGCATTCCCACTATCGTCTGGTAAACCTCACTTATAATACGAAAATTGAAAACAAACCTGGTGAAAAGATTTGTTTTGCCCATCTTGATTAGCTTGTTTGTTTATCGATTATCGCTACTGTAATTATAATTTTCATTTTTTTTAGATTTTTAAGAAATTTAAATGTGTTTTTTGGCCGTATCACTGACCGAAGCGTGCCTTTAGTGCCGGATGATTTTCCCCCCCTTTCTGTTTTAGCTTATTTTAGCTGCAGTTTCATGTTTCTTGTAAATTCGGTCCTTATGCTGAGGAGGAGCCTATATATGAGTTTGGTGTTGGGCTTTGCTCAAATTCGTATCTTAACTCACTTTTTTAGCTTTTGATCAACACTCTGTGTTTAGGTTTCTAATTGGGCTGACGCATGCTCATAGTGTAGTTAAAACTGCAGTGCCACTTAATAGGTTCGTCGTCTCAACAACTGCAGTTAAAGATAGTGAGAGTGAGCTAAGGCATACCCAAATCGATATCTCAATCAATGTTTTTTTGCTTCCTTAGCTTGAGCTTATTTTAGCTGCAGTTTCGTGTTTCGTGTAAAATCCGGTCCTTCTGCTAAAGGGGATCCTATATGTGAGAACCTTTACGACAGTTTGGTGATGGGATTTGCTCAAATTCGTAGTTTACCTAACTTTATTCACTGTTGATGAACACTTTCTGTTTAGGTTTCTATTTTGTGCTGACCCATGCGCTCATAGTGTATTTAAGACTGCAGTGGGAACTTGTTAGGAACGTCATCCCGATCACTGTAGTTAAAGATCTGGAGATGGCTTAACTGAGAAACATAGTAAATATCATAACGTTGATGCTATGCTCAAGAGTCACTGAGTTAGCAAGACGTCTGGTTTTAGATTTCGGACTCGGTCGTAGGTTTATATAAACTGACAGAGGTTTTGTATACTACTTTATTAGATGCAGTGGGTATGTGAAAACATGTATGTGCTTGTGGGAGAAGTCGGTTACATGAATGAAATGCGCTCTATTATATGGTTGCATGGAATTTGATGAAGTTTTTATTTGTAAAAGTAAATGTCAAAACATATTGGGGACCGTTATTTTTGGAAATTGTGTGTCTGTCTACTAAATCCTCTCAACATAACGTTCGGGTCTATTATGAGCTACATTTGAACTTGACTTCTGTAAATTTGTTTTGTGTCTTCATCTTATTTTGCAGCATAGCTTTGCATCATTAAAAGATCATTGAGATCATAAATCAAAATTGTGTCATGAGCCACCAATAAAAGCACCATTTAAAAAAAAAAGGAAACTATTTGACCATATTGTCTACAGTACTCATTTCAGTGAACTTTATTTATTATCTTTTTTCCCTTTAAGCTTTTCCAAGTAATGTATTTTCCAGTGAAATACTTGATGTTGGAGAAGGTCATACGAGAAAATAACCTTTCAAAGCACTCACCAACAGAGAGCATAGAACTATCCTACACTCTGTATTGTCCGGTTAAGAAATACAATTAGTTAGCTTTCACTGAGATAGTGGATCGATAAAGTTATCAGAAATGTGACTCAACATTACCTTAGGTGTAAACTTCACTTGTTGCTCCTTCTGACATATTTAAAGAAACTTTAGGAAGATACAACTTCGAAACGACTCATTTTACATTGACGTGCTCCAATGCTGACTTGCAAAATGGTATTGCTCGTGTTAGGTTTGTTCTTCAAGTCTGCAGATCAATCAGTACCCACCAGCTTGGTGTTCAATTCCAAGGGCATCAGAAAATCGTCTGCAAAGAATAGGGCACTCGTTGTTAAAGCAAGCTACAGGTATTTTTGCATTTCATTTACTTCTGCTACGGGTCTGTAGGTTCTCAAAAGGTAGAAAGTTTCTACAGTTTTCTTTTTTTTTCTGCATTTTATGGCAGTGATGGCGGAAGACCAAGCAGTGCAAGTTTCATTGTTGGTGGCTTTGTTTTAGGGGGATTAATTGTGGCCGCACTTGGTTACGTTTATGTCCCTCAGGTAAATATAATCAGCACTTGCATGAAAATTGACAGGTCGAGATTTTTTCTGTAACCCTCACTCAGTGTTGTATATCTCTTGTGTTTATGTGAAATCGATTCTTGTTTTCTGTATTCTGAAATCTGCAGCTAATTATACCGTGAAAATTTGGCGGATTTGTTTTTGTCCTCCTCTTCAACAGATCAGCAAGGCTTTAGCTGGAGCAGATAAGAAGGAGATCATGAAAAAACTGCCAAAATTTATCTACGATGAAGAAAAGGTTTTGGAGGTATGCCATTTATTTATTTATATAAAAAGAAAAAAAAAAGGAAAATAGAAATCTTGTTTAATCTAAAGAAAGTTTGTATCTGAGTAGTTTGGTTGTATATTGTTTTATCCAGAGAGCATATATCTTGCATAAGAAAGCTTGCAAAAAGAAATTGTTGCCTTGTCACGCATTTTTTATGTCGTTAAGTTTGTCGTACCGTAAATGACTGATTTCCTTTGTATTTAATCAGTTCTATTCGTGCTATCTTTATCATGCGAGATCTTAAGAACAACTTGTTAGAACCGGCCATTTTCGAGAAATAAGAACACGAGTAGATACAAAACTGGAAAAGCTCTGAAAAAACTGAAAACGTCTGGAATTTTTTTTTTGAACTTATAAGATAAAGAAGATGACACTTCTAATGTTAGTCATACAAGTGTGACTTAGCGCTGTTATTCAAGAATTCAATTTAAAAATAAAGAGGTGATATTGTACTTATAGGATTTCATCTATGCGAATTTCTAATATTTTCTGTTCAATTTTGTCTTAAGAACTACTCGAAGTCAAAACGGCTTTAGAAAAATTTTCACGTATTTATGTTTGTGTGACGTATGTACAGAAACAACGCAAGAAACTTGCAGAGAAGATTGAAGAGCTCAACTCAGCTATTGATAACATCTCCATCAGTTAAGATAAGGGGACATTCGAATCGGGTCAGCCATGAGCTCGGATGAGGTTAGAGCTTGTATCTCAGATTATCGATCATGTAAGAAAATAAATACACCTCGTATCTTTTACGTATTTGCATGCTAGTCATCGGTTATTGATGGGGTTGAAGTTTTAAAGTTTCCACCTTTTTATTAGATTTCATTACTGGGATGGATGATCCTCTGTCGATGTTGAATTGTGGTTCGAAAGCACGAAAACGCCCGGTGTTTTTGGATTCTATTTTTTACTTATGAAATCTTTTTTATTTTATCCCTTTTCTGGGATTTATATTGCTCATGCTTAGGGTTGTAAACGAATCAAATTAAAGCGAATACTAAGATATTCGATTCGGATTCGTTAAAATATGGAGGATTCGAATTCGTATTTGATTCGTTAACGAACTCATTTTTTTATTCGTATTCGATTTGTTTAGAATATTCGAACATATTCGATTCGATTCGAAATTCGATTTCAGAAAAATATTATAAATAAATAAATTTATAATTACAAAAATATGTTTTTTATTTTCTATATATTTTTAGGTAAATTTGTTAATTTAAGATATTTTTACTTTTTATGTCATAAAAATATTAGGAATATATGGAAAAATTAAAGATATATATGGAAAAATATATGGGAAAATATAAAAATTTAAAAATATCTTAAATTAACAAATTTTCCTAAAAATATATGGAAAAATAAAAAACATCGCTTTGTAATTATATAAATTTATAATATTTTTTTGTTGGTCCGTATCATTTTTTATCACTTAATAAAATTTCCTCCAATAAAAAAATGATACGGTTGGTTGAACAACATTATCTCTCATCTCTTATAAAAGGCTATAAATTTAATCGAGAGGAAAAAAACAATCATATTCCAACAGAATTAAGTGATAAAAAGCAAGAAGAGAGAGAATTGGGTGCGGTTACCATGGAGAATTTCAGCGATGGTTTTTTCAATTCTATAGACGGCGACGGCGCTATGGCCGATTACGATTCAAATTTCCAGAACGCCGGCAATGTCATCAGCGGCTACAACCAAGAACCGCATCAGGTGCCGGCGGGGGTTTCCCTCTTATCAGCAACCGGACCACCCAATATCTTTACCTCATTCACCACCATAAAATTTTGTTAATTCTCATAATAATTAGAAATTATTGTATTGAACTCTTAATTTGCTTTTGTGCAAAGTTTTTAATTCAAAAAATAAAAAATATAGAAAAATCCCATTTTTTATCTACAAAAGCCCATTACAACTTTGTTTCTAGTGAAGGGTACAATTTAGAGGGTGATTGTTTATAAAATAATTTACTCACTTTTATTTCAATTCAAAATTAACTCAACTTTAACTCAACTTTAACTCAACGCCACTATCTTTAATATTATTCATATATTTAAATAATACAAACCAATCATTCTTACACATCACATCAACTTTATTTCACTATTCATCCACTCACATAATTTTAACTACCTATCATTTCCAATCATTTATCTCTTACTTTTCCATCAAATCAATTTTAATCATTTTATTTTAAATATTATTATAATACATTCTTAAAATTCAACTACAACTAACCATACCACTTTTTTCAAAATTAACTATAGTTAACCAAAATAACTCAATTTGAACAAATTATTTCATAAACAATCAAGCCCTTAGCTTACCTTGATTATTACTCAATACACTATTTTTTTCATTTTATTTTATACTAGTTTTTTTGCTATACTTTTGACCTTCAAGGCCAGTGGAGATCTATTGCAGACAATTGTAGGCAACTGTGCATATATTTTTATTTTTTTAGATTTAGTTATGTTAATTATACACAGTTATGCATAATGATGGCTAAATTAATTACAATTATATGATTTTAATTGTTATTGTATATTACTATATACCAATTGTAAGTGTCTGCAGTCTACTATCAAGACAATAGTTAAAAATCATAATTTCAAATGGAATAAAACAATTTTTTTTTTTTTTATTTTTTTTTTATTTTTTTATTTTTTTTATACTAACACTGTCTTTATAAAAATCAAATAATTATACTAATTTAAATGTATAAAATATATATTGTATAATATATATATAATTATATATATATATATAATTACTAGCTCATGTATTTTATAAAACATTTAATAAAACCCATTTTCATTTCCCTCCAAAGTAGTTATAATTTTAATTAATTACTCATTAATCTGTTAAAACCGGTACATTTTTTTCTATTTATGTTAATTTTCTTAATATATGCCACATATATATAAATTATTTTATTCATGTTACTAATGTAAATGTTACATGGTTAAAATAAAATTTAAATCTCAATTAATTTTGAATGATAAAAATAACTTAAGAAAAAGTAATATTTTTTTTTTTATTATAGAAGTACATGTCTAATAAATAAATACAAACAAAAACGTGTTTTATATTTGTGCAAATGCACATGATCAAATACTAGTTTATTTAAATAGGCGTTGTCATTCTATAAATATAAAAATACTAATCTACTAAATTATACGTCTATGTTATCCATAAATGTTTAAACTACATATGAACCGATTTATAAATCATTTATGTTTATATTCCTGTATATTCAAGGTTCACATTTTTCAAATTCTATATTTTGTTCCTCAATTACTACATCAATCATTCATTCTATTTGTTCATGTTTACTTGATCAGGCCAATTGCAATTGCAAACGTATCACTTTATTTAAAAATAATATTACCTCATACTATTTATATTTTTTTAATTAGATTGCAAACACATTGTTGGTATGTGATGAAATTATTGAAATGTCAATGTCACAAAGAATGAAGGATGTCGATATTACCCTCTTGCATTAAATTTACACAAATCGTGCCAAGCTAACTGAGGTACCTTAAACAAATATTAATAATAAACAACATATTCTTTGACTGTAATATTTTAAATTCATAAACGATTTTTCCATCCCAGGGCAAATACTATTCTTTAAGAGGGTTGCCATGAACAAATCGTCTTTATGGTATGAATCATGCAAAAAATACTCATCCTCAGTTGACAGGAATGATGACAACAACGCGTGTAAAAAGTGCGAGATGTCATGAAAACAACTCCAAGATAATAAGAAAAAACTAAAAGTTCATATCTTAGAATTTTATAAACAAAATAGAACTAAAAATAATCTACTAACTACTATATAGGTTGGTCCTAAATGTCATAGAAGCAAATCTTAGTCGCACTATCACACTTTTTGAAGATGTCGCAATGGTTTACGCAGGACATCCTATTGTCAGCTACCTTAGATCCATTGAGCAAGTCAATATATTGTTACTTTATAACTCAATTTCATCTTCAACAACTCTATTTTTACTCATTTTTTCTTTCATACTCATTAGCGAGAAGAATCATCTGGTTACTATGGAGGATTGAACTTGGAATCAACTGAATTCTAATTTCTAATACAAATTAATCATAAGTCCTATAACTCAAAAGAAGAGTTGAACATGGTTTCTGAGGCTATAGCAAGATTACAACCTACACATGATGATGGAATGAAAGAAATGTCATCAAATTCTTTTAATACTCAAAGATATACAAAACAATCGAGGGTCAAGCAACTTAAAAGAAGAAAATGCATCGCACAAGATAAAGGAAGATGATAATGACAGTGTCATTGAAATTGAGGATCATGAGACAATCAACAGTCTTAAAAATAAATGTGCACGAAAAAAATTCAAAATCGAAGGGAAAAAAGTCCTCTCATCCGATCAACATAATGAATGAGAAGAGTCGAAGTCCGTAGTCACTCAATCATGTCATTTAAATTTAGTAATAATTTTTAGTTATTTTCTTGATGTATTTCATTTAATTTTCATTTTAAACGTATTTTTCGTCTTCCATCTCTTATTTTGAAATGTAAAGTAAATGAATTGCAAAAAGAAACTAACCAAAAATTATTCTTAAATTTAAATGACTAAACTTATATGTAGTTATGATCTTCAACCATTCTCTCTCTTTATGTTGATGATCCGAGGAGATGATTTCTTTCCCTTTTATTTTAAATTTTTCAGTGCACATTTCTTTTTAAGATTTTTTATTGTCTCATAATCCTCAATTTCAATGACACTATCATTATTATCTTCCTTTATCTTGTTGGCAATGCATTTTCTTCTTTTAAGTTGCTTTTTATAAGACAACCCTTGATACTTTTGTAGATTATTTAGAGTATTGGAAGAAATCGATTGCCATCCTTTCATTTCATCATCGTGTAGGTTATAATCATGCAATAGCCCCAACAACTACGTTCAACTCGCCTTTTGAGTTGTAGTACTTATGATTAATTTGGATGAGAAAGTGAAATTCAGAGTTTGACTGTAAGTTCAACCATCGATAGTAACCAAACAATTCTTCTTTCTCATGAGTATGGAAGGACAAATAGTTTAAAATAAAGTTGTTGAAGATGAAATTGAGTTATAAAGTAACAAATGTAATGGCCTGCTCAATAGATCTAATAGTTCGCAATAGGATCTTACGTGTAAACCATTGCCACATTTTCAAAAAGTGTGATACTGCCACTGAGTTTTGCTTCTATAACATATAAGACCAAATTATATATGTAATTAGTAGATTTCTTTTAGTTATGTTGTGATTATAAAATCTAAAATATGAACTTTTAGTTTTTTCTTATTACCTTGAAGTTGTTTTTTACATATGTTGTTGTCATCATTCTTGTCAACTGAGTAAGAACATTTTTTGCATGATTAATACCATAAAATCAATTCGTTCTTGACTTTGTCGACGAATCCTCTTAAAGGATAGTATATTCCTTGGGATGGAATTTTTTTATGCATTTAAATATTTCAAACAAAGAGTATATTGTTCATTTATAATATTTGTTTAAGGTACCTCAGTTAGCTCGACACAATTGTTGTAAATTTGATGCAATGTGATAATATCAACGCCCTTCATTCTTTGTGACTTTGACATTTCAAT